ATAGTGTCATAATTTTGTACCGGCAGGGAATTATGTCGGATATTTTTTACAGTTCTTTTGGCACTGACGCAATTTAATTGAATGCTTTATCGATACGTCACCCCTTAATCACCTATGTCTAATGTTTTTATTTTAACGGTAGTTGAAACATTGTGACTATTTTAATGAAAATAATTAGAAAACGAGTAGGTGTTGTTTACCTGATGTTAAATGATTACCTATTACCATTTATATCTCTCATATATTAGTCTTATATATATCAAGCCAGAAAAATAGACTTTTAAATAGTAATTTGGTTCATTAATAATACCGATAGTGCTAAGATAAAGATTCATATATAATAAACAATGTTAAGTCTGTTCTTAATCCTATTATCTCAATAGTTTTTATGAATATGATATCAAAAATCATTGTAAACGTCTATATAATATTGTTGTTATCATAATATTTTTAAGTAAAAACAAATGCACCTTTTTTAAATTATAATTCAAATGCTTTTGCTACTGAAGTATTTTCCATCAAAAAAGCACCACAACACTGTTTTATCTCCCATGGTCTCTAATGCTTTCATAGAAATTTGGGCTTCATTGAAGACCTGCAAATAGTATACAGCGTGTCGTTACCACCGCGACAATAAATGAACACACATATAGAGGATAACTTTTTAAAATTGTATTAAACATTTACATTCTTTAAACATCAATATTAACCCAGTTATTAAATTTTCCAAAACAAACAATTTTAGAACACCCTTACGTATAAAACTGTAACGTAAAGTTCATTTGTAAAGGTCACAAAGCATATTTTTTTTTTATGTGAAAAGTTGCCAAACGAGCAGATGGTTCACCTGATGGTAAGTGAATACCGCCGCCCATGGACATCTGCTACACCCGAGGGTTACAGATGCGTTGTCACCTTTTGAAAATTGGGCGTCGGCTACCTCACTCACCAGACGAAACGCGAATGTATTTGTCATACTTCCACTTTACGCTGGTCTTCTGTGAGGTCGTGGTACTTACCCGGACGGGCCTGCCCATTCGTGCAACAGCCGAGGCTGCCGCGTGGCCCTACCACCGTTAAATGAATGGGTTGAATGAATTTAATTGAGAATCATTCAACGCATATGAATGGGTTGAATGAATTTAAAAGAGACAAAACATACTGTTAGAAGGAGAAGCTTGTAATGCGACGCTGTGGCGCGAGTTGTATAGGATGATAGAAATTTTGTTTCTTTTTTACTTAATTAGTTTGTTTGAAAAAAAATTTTTAACGTTAATTTTTTTTTATGATTATTGGCAAGTAGCGTTAGACGTGTGTTCATTTATTGTCGCGATGGTAACGACACGCTGTACACACTTTACTTTATTTTTCATTGTTTTACGTCCAGGAGCTCTTACTATTACAGCGCTATCATGACTATAGAAAGTGATAATTCGCACTGGGTAGTTCCAAAACTCATAATGTGTACTGAAGGAGCTGGACATAAATATTATCTCGACACTTCAGATTATCTGATTGTCGTGGTTGTTTCATTATTTCACTGTTGTGCCAACTTTTAAACTAACCATGGGATAATATGTAAATAGTAGGGTAATAAATATTTAAGGACATGTTAACGTAAATATGCCTTTTTTGTAAATAAATACATAGTATACATATATAAATACCCAGACACAAGAAAAACACAATATTCATCGCACAATATTTTTCCAGTAGTGGGGATCGAACCCACACCCTCTGGCGCAGGATACAGGTACACTACTCACTACGTCATTCGGGTTTATATACTTCACATTTCTAGCTAATGACTGACTATTCTTGATTAAATTTTTCGGTAAACATCTAGAAAAACATATTGTGACCTCTAACTGGAATAACAGGTTTAAGTATAATTACTTTAACAAAGTTTCGTCATGCTTTGTAACAAGTCCATATTTTTATTAACGAAAAACAAAACCGACTTCAAATATCTTCCGCTGTATTCGTTTAATAATTGATTTTCAGGAGTTCCCCAAGTGGTCTCCTGAGCCCAAGATCCGATACCAATGAAATTTATATGGGACCATATGGGAAGCACCAGCTTTCAAATAAAAAAAGAAACATCAAAATCGGTTCACTCAAGTCGAAAGTAATGTAACAAATAAAAAAAAATACATTCGGATTGAGAACATCATCCTTTTTTGAAGTCGGCTGAAAATAACAATAAAAGTTTATTAATTAAAAACATATTTGTTATTGTTGTTTAAGTGAAGTGTTGCATCTTATTTTCTAAACCAGACTATAAAGGACATTAGATTTATAATTGGACGATGAATTGGCATTAAAAGGAAACCAGGTGAATCTCGACTTCACAGTGTTTCAGTTGTACAGCGATAATACATTACTTTCAAATATTAGACCGATGGAATATATAGGAGTGCTGTAGCGTAACAGACTCGATGCAATTTTACAAATCCACGGTCGTTACCAATACAACTGAGAATTTTGTGCAATAAGACCCACCGCATAGTGGCGCTAGACTGGATTAATTAACAAGTAAGTGTTTGTTTTTACATACTTTAGCCCTGTACATACTATATAAAAAGTACAACTTTTTGTTAATAAAAAAACATAACTAACTTCAAATATCTATATCGTACCCACAAAAAAATCCGTTTGTAAATAAAGGAGTTCGGAGGTAACAAACATTAAAAAAATACAATCCAATTGTGAATCTTCTTATTTGCATTCGGTTAAATGTCGCTGATTTAAATGCATGGGTGGGCATAAGATAGGAAGGTTTCAATAACGGAAATGTCTCAAATTTCCATCCTTACTGGGTTCTCATTTCAGATCGCGCCATGTCCATGGTCGTAAGCACTACTGTAAGTGATACTGATTAACTAATCATATCTCATGCTCATAAAATAATTCCTATTGTATTTTTCTTTATAATAGACACCTTTAAAAATCCGCTTCGATTTTAAGATTTTCGTATAAATTTGTGAACTTAGTACATATAATGCGTTCGACATAAATTTCAAAGTTAATTTAAAAACCTTTTATGACTTATTTTTATACACATATTCGGGGAAGAGATAGAAGGAGACATGTTTTCTTTCATGTTCACTTTTTCTGACATGTACCATAGGTCTCTGCTATCTCTTATATATTATTTCTCATTGGTGTTTTTTTAGGTACGTCATAAATACCATAATTCTCCAACAGATATAATTATTTCGCTGCCGATTTACCGCTATTGAAGAAAAATATACGAGTAGAATAAAGTTAACGTTTTCATAATAAAATCCTTCATTAAAAAAAATCTTATAAAGGATGAATAAATGTCATTTATTGAGCGCGGAGATAAGAATTTGACATTCTTCGAAAAGTAAAGTAACAATTTACAATTTCATTGGTGCCGGCACCGGGAATTTGAACTGAGTTTGCTTCAGTATATTGAACCAAAAGCGAGCGCCCGGACACTGAGCGCGGGATAAGACAGCACAATTTACAATTTCATTGGTGCCGGCACCGGGAATTTGAGCGGCACACTTATTTCATCATCATCATTTCAGAATATAAGCGTACACTGCTGAACACAGGCCTCTTCAAGGGATTTCCAATTCGATCGGTCAAAAGCGGCCCGTATCCACATTTATTTACACAATATTATTATATTACCTTACTAGTGACTCGCTCCGGCTTCGCACGGGTGCAGTGTAATTATATATATACACCTTCTTAAATCACTCTATCTAGTAAAAAACGCATCAAGATCCGTTGCGTAGTTTTAAAGATTTTAAGCACACATAGGGACAGACAGCGGGACGACTTTGTTTCATCCTATCTAGTGAAGAAGTGCTATTGACTACGATTTGAAGTGTCTCGACAATTTCGTCAACCTTGTACCTGAAGTGGTTGCTATAGAAGCATAAGCTACGTTGACAATGATTGAAAAGATTCAACCCGCATACGATTAATGTGAAGGTGCTCGATTCACAATGCCGCGTCTGCGTTCATACTTGAGCGTCGATTTCAACGACCAATTGGTGTGTTGTGCCAATTCTTATTACAATGCTTTCGATTACTGGCTTCGCTTGTTTTGATATTTTCCTTAGTTATCGTCTATCAGACGGATATAGCGAATTTTGCTTGTTTGTTGCTGGATTTGCTTATGAATATCCTCAGTTTTTAATTCTTTACGAGTAATGATAGTAATTTTATAGGTAAAAAGTTGGTTTAAAAATAGTAATTGAAAGTTACGAGGCTAATTAAAACTCTTTACATATTTTTATTTTTCCCCTCTTCAAATATCTGTGAAAATATTTTAAATAAACGTATTACTGCATTTCCAAAGCTTTCAACTTCCTATTTATAAAACTTCTACTCTCTACTACCCTTAGTTCCTAAAGGTGTCTAGTTCACCTCTTCATTCGAATTTTTAGTTTTTTATTTTCCTAAGATGAACAAGCTTTCAGTGGCTTAGAAAGCGGGCGATGTCGATTATAAAATTTAAGGGTTCGATTTTCTGTCAAAAAGGGGCACAGCTTACAAGAATAAAAGGAATCGCTTCAAAGTTTCAAAATATTAGATTCGTAAGTAAAACAAAAAAAGAAATTTGAGTTGAAGAAAATAAAATGGGAAAATGTTGATGAAGAAGTAACTTTTCATTTCTTTTTGACACCCTGCGAGGAATCAAATTGACGGCTCAAACGGGATATCTTATCTCTCAATATCGAATGATACGGAACCGAGTATCAGCTAACCGTCCTTTATTTCGGGCGAGACAAGAACGCAATCTATCATGTTCTAGATTATACCTATGTTTTATTATGTTGTTTTCAACATGTGTATACATGATATAGGATATATCTATCTATACGTTTTCATTTTAAAGAAATCTTTAGATTCTATCGAATACGTTTGGCGAAACATTTTACAATACATAATATAAAATGTACTAACATTTTATAGAGACTCTATCATACATTGTAATGGCGATTTTGGATGTGTTGCAGTTGACAAATCAAGTGGACAAGTTGGCGCAGGTCAGTCGCGATCTAAGACGGAAGCAAAAGCAGCTACAAAATCAAGTAAGTTCGGACATAACTTATGTATGTGATTAATAATTATTTTTATTCCTAGAATCTCCATTTAAAGCGTGAATTTTAAGTACCATCTTGAATGTGCAAAACGTATTTCCCCGAATGTGCAGGTTCGAATACCGCAGCGTCGAAAGTTTTTGTTAATTTATCTACAAAAATTAATCGAAACAAAAATCCAACCTTATTAATGTTAAGTTAAATAATTTCATATGAAATTTAAGAACACTATTGTTCTATTTTTAAAATGGAAAGTAACATCGTTCTATTAAGGGCGATAATTGTAACGTTTTATTTATTTATTTATTTATTTATTTATAATTTATGTAAACAGAGTTATGGCAGAGATGTAAATAGATGAAATAATTTGTACAAAGGTCCTGCTTATTTCATAAGAAATTTCTTCCAGCAGACCTGTGACTGGAAATTGGTTACAGATGGTAGTTAATTGTGTACATACATCAATTAAAATACACGTATATGCAATAATTATAAATATGATATCATTACTAAAATAAAATATATATAAATACATAAATACACATACATAAATACATACATATACATACATAAATAAGTAAATAAATATATAAATATATATGTCGCATTTATACTGCCAAGGAAAGGTAGTGATCCTTAACTCTTTTCTTAAAAATCGATATAGTTTTAGATTCCCTGATTATCGGTGGGAGTGAGTTCCATAATCGAACTGCATGAACAGTAAAGGAATCGGAATATGAAGCGCTTTTATGGGGAGGGAATTTAAGGAGGGTTTTAAGATGGGAACGGCAAGGAGCGTGCGGTGGACGAGCGAAAGCAAAACGCTCACGCAGGTAAGATGGTGAAGTAGGGCAATACAGGATATTAAAGAGCAGACATAAAATCCTAGTGTTCCTTCGAAATCGTATTGGGAGCCACTTGAGATCCTTGCGAAGATGAGAGACGTGATCAAATTTACGAAGTCCAAAGATAAAGCGTATACATAGATTTTGAAAGCGCTCAAGCTTATTTAGAAGCTCCTCAGTAGCATCCAGGTAACAGGCGTCAGCGTAGTCTATGATGGGTTGGATGAGCATTTGGGCCAGAGAGATTTTAGTCTTTAAGGAGGCACCCTGGAGGCATTTAAGAGCATGAAAAGAATAGTGAACTTTTCGACTAATTTCACTTACATGTGCACATCAGGAAAGATTAGATGATATTATTATCCCCAGATCCTTGACAGTTTCAGTGTAAGGTATGGGTATATCGCATAACTTTACGGGGGGTATAGTAGAGAAATTGATCGAGTTTCTTGCATACCTAGTACCGATAATTATCGCCTGTGATTTAGTGGCATTAAGCGTGAGTCAAATGATTTGGACCAAGAGTTTATTCGGTTTAAATCTTCGTTAACAGTAGCAATAGCTAAGTCTACTTGTGCTGGAGGAAAATGATGATAAAGCTGCAAATCGTCTGCATAGAGGTGAAAATTGGAAGAAATAACTGTTGTGACTGAGTTAATAAAATAGAAAAAAGTAAAGGAGAGAGAACGCCACCCTGAGGCACACCCGCGCTTAGTTCACAAGAGTTAGAGAATGAATTTTCTATGCGAATGCGCTGCGAGCGGCTCCGAAGATAGGAGTCAAACCAATTTATAGAGGAAGAGGAAATGTTAATTGAATGAAGGATGCCGAGTAAAATATCAAAATCAACAGAAGAAAAAGCGTTACTGAAGTCAAGCAACACCAGTAAAGTAAGTTTATTTGTCTCCATAGCTCATCGAATATCGTCTGTAACTTTGAGGAGAGCAGTAACAGTACTGTGACTGGGCCGAAAACCGGATTGGAAAGAACTTAAAAGCGAATTAGAACATAGAAAAGTGGATAGTTGAGTATGGACAATGTGCTCAAGAACTTTGGAAAGAAAAGGTAAGATGGAAATGGGCCTAAAGTGGGACATTATTGTCGGACAAGTAACCTTCGGGAGTGGTATGATGTGGGCCTGCTTCCAGTCCAAGGGAAATGAACAGGTTGACAATGAGTGATTAAATATGTGGGTAAGAACGGGAAGTACTGATGACAAAATTAAAACTATCATTCTAGAGCACATATTGTCACTGCCAACAGATGATGATGAGATTGCAAAAATGGATCTTTTCACACACTCCTCTGAAACAGGGTTGAAATTAAAAGAGGGGGAAGATGGCCTCGGCAGGCCAGACAATACGCGCAGTGTTTCGGATTTGATATAAGGATCTAGGATTGAGGAAGATTGAGAGAAATATTTGTTAAGATCGTTTAAATCAATATCCCCACATACGACATTAGGTGGCTTTCCGATACCATTAGACTTCAGGAATCTCCAAACATCAGATGGGCTTCGATTATTGAGAGAATCGTGGAAATAGCGTCTCTTAGCATCTCTACACATACGATTGCAGCGGTTTCGTAGCACTTTAAAATATGTTAGATTTTTCTCAGAAGGAAAACGCTTGTATTTTCTTTTAGCTTTGTCACGAAGAGCCATTAATTGCTTTATGTCATTATTGAGCCATGGTGCCGGATTTCGCTTGACTTTAACTCTTCGGATCGGTGCGTGCTTATCAAACAATTTTAAAATAATCTCAGTGAAACTACGAACCTTTTCATCAACACTGTTGACGTTCAGCACTGAGGCCCAGTCTAAAGCAGCAGCATCACGTTGCAATGCTTCTAAGTCTATGCCCTTATAACTACGAAGGAGGAGATATTGCAGTTTGCGCTTAGGGACATGAATACGATAGGAAAGATAGATAAGATCGTGATAAGAAAAGGAAGTGGCCAGTTGGCCATGCGAGATTACGCTACTAGGCGCTGACACGATCATGACGTCGAGAAGAGAGGGGATGCAATTTGGAAAATGATGAGTAGCCGAAAGGGGTAAGAGCTGAAGATTAAAAGAATTTAAGAGAGACATAAGTCGAGAAGCACGGAAATCATTTTTTAACAAACAGGTGTTAAAATCACCCATTAAAATTATATGATCATATATAGGGCAAAGATCAGCTAGTACTTTGTCAAGGTGATCAAAGTAATCAATGGATAAATTGGGACTGTAGAAAACAGAGAGTAAGATTTTTGATTTATTTATCGATATTTCTAAGAATAAGTATTCGGCAGATTCAGAATACTCAGACGGGGACTTGCAGATGATTTTATAGAGAATATCGGTGCGAAGGTAGATAGCAACACCGCCACAGCTTTTACCGATTCGATCATTTCGTATAAGAACGTAACCAGGCAATGCGTATTGAGTAGATAGAAGAGATGGTTTAAGGAAAGTCTCAGAGATGAGAAGCGCATCAAGGTACTTACTGCTGAAGGATGCTAGAAGATCAGAGTAATGACTAGGGATAAGGTTATCGGAGTGAGGGGTACATAGAGAGGATAATAGATCATGCAGTGTCAATGCTTGAGATTGATCACTATCCGCACTGATAAAACTATCCGATGACGAACAGGAAAAAAAACTTTCGTTAAAATCAGGTAAATCATTCATATTTCTATAATGCGTGTAAATTAAAAATAAATAAATAAATTTAAACTATAATAAATAATAAGTTAGTATTAATAATATAAAATAGAATAATAGTATATATAAAAAAAAAAAAAAAACAGGCCTATATCTATCAAACCCGCCTTTCACTGGTATAGTGGAAGAAATTCGTAATTCTAGTCTATAATGAACTAAATATTACTAAAGAATAAAAATATTAAACAAAACAAAAAGTAAAATCTAGTAGAAATCAAACAAGAGTAAGTATATGGAATTGTAAACCTCTAACTAAAATTCAAACTAAGATTATTCAATCGGATAAAAACTTTAAATCAATTTAAAATTAAATCAATCGGATAAATATCTACAGAAATTATTTATTTTTAACATACGTTTTGGCAACATGCTATGACTATAAGCAGTTTTTGAACGCAACTGTCACTGGCAGTTGTCAACGTCAAAGAAATTTATCAAAACATAAACAGTGACAAACATGAAATAGCAAAACAAAAGAAAAGAAAATAGTAAAAATGCAAACCACTAAGTTGAAGTGTACAACAGTAAAATTAAGTACTACCTACAATACTTAAACTATGTCTACTTGGGATACATAATGATACCGATAAAATAATGGTGATATAATGATAAAGGAGTGATTATAACTAGCATGCCAACAATATTTTAAGGAGCAAATAAGTAAAGAAAAAAAAATTGTATATACTAGCTACATGTATACAATTACAGTGGATAGAAAAGACAATACTATAGTATAAAAAGCAGACATTTAATTGCGTTTACGGCCCTTTCTTGGCGCATTTGTATGTTTTGCAGCATTAAACGAGGAAGAATCATTCTCGAGATTAGACGGAAACTGAGATATAAGCTGGTTGAGTTCATCCATGCATTCAATTTTCTGCTTTGATTTATCAGGAAGAATTATGGTTACCTTACCCTCAACCGTCCAACACTGTTTCATACCAAAGTGACTACGAGCAGCAGTAAAAACTCTGTGCCTCGACTTGGTTCAGAATTCAGAAACAGTGATACCAGTGCCCTTCAAAGCAGTTTTGTTGTCCCATATGAGGTGTCTGGATTCCATGGAAGAAAATCTTACAAGAACAGGTCGTGTTTTGTTTTGAGAAGATCCCAGTCGATGGCAAACATGTAAATGATCTTGTGAAACATCAAACAGCTTTATGTTGTCGGTTATTAATTTATGGATTACATCACGGATTTTCTCATCCCGTTTCTCAGCAATACCATGGAAAAGGAGTACTTTCCTCCTCATAGCAGTCTCATGTCTATCCAGGCCATGGGAAAGCAGTTCAATTTGCATCTTCATAGTTGACAGAGATTGCCATACGAAGGATTTGAAGTCGGAAAACTCACGGGATAATGTTGAGATGTCCATATGTGTAGAACCAGCGCCAGATGCAGCTTTTTGTAACTTTTCTTCATATTCATGCATACGTGAGCCA